AAAAGAAACTTCGATTTTCGAGTTATAATAAATTAGTAAGTAGTGGAGGATGATGTTGTTGTAGGTGAACTTGGCAAAAACCCTTCTTAAGCCATCAAACTTATCTCAAAATAATATTTGAGCCCCTAAACTAAATATGAAACAGATTAACCCTCCAATTCCACTAACAATGAAAAAAAGTCCTTCTCACAAAGAAGCCAAATGGTATTTCATGTTTAATATAACCGTGAAAGCATGAATACTCATGAATGAGAAGAGCTTAATTGTATCATTAATGAAGTTAAAGGGTTTATTTACTTTATTTTTAATTTAGAGGTTCAAATGTTATTTTGAGATAAATTTAAGGGTTTAAAAAGGATTTTTGCCGATGAACTTTCCGGAGAGAATTGCGCCTTGATTGAACTGAACGTGGGGTAAATGATTTCAATTCAGTAAAAAATTCAATGATGCCCAACCAATTGAACCAAATGGCTCAATTTTGATTGGCCTTAATTGATCCATTACTTAAAGTGATGATTTCATGCCCATAATTGGTCTAAAACTAACCAAACCACTCGTGCAAGAATGTAAAAAATTAAGACATTTTGATTTTAAAAAATGTTAAAGATATTTAATTAAGACTATATAATGAGTGATAGATAACATAAAATTCACCTAACTCTCACTCATTATGTGTTTAAAATTAAAGATCTTAATATTTTTAATGATAAATCATTTTGATTTTCACCCCTTTTTTTGGTTATTTTTTTGTCTTTTTAGCTAACTAGATGAAAAATAATCATTTATTATCCTTTTATTCACTTAAAATCTTTCTTATTTGCATGGGAAAGAGATTGTAATGATTCAAGTAATGATACAACAGATAGAGATCTCTCCTCCTCTCAAAGCCTGGTTGTTTAGGCATCACCTGATTATAAAGACAAACAACATGAGAAATTATTCAGGTTTGTTCTGATAAGATTACACTCCCTAGCTAAGATCAAAATGATTTTGTAACTCTGCATAGTCAAAACTTAAAGACAGTGATCAATTAGTTTGGATCTAAGCTTCAGCTGCATATTTGGATTAGGTTGATACCTCAAAGTAGGAATTGTAAAAAGATCCTCCGAAGCCAGCACACCATGACATTCCAAATTCTGCTT